GGGAGCAGAGGGCACAAAACCCACAGCTGAGGGGAGGGGCCGGGCGTGGACCGACTTAAGGAAGTTTGTCAGCAGTTTTACGCCCACATCTTGGCATAAAACAAGTCCTGATGGGCAGAACAGGGCCACCCTAATTGGGGAGTCCCCGGCCTGGACCCCAGCAGCAGATGCTGTCCAGAGCTGCTCGCGAGGCTGGCAGGGAGCAGAGAGAGGGCAGCTGGACGAGAGGGCCTGCAGCGGAGACCCTGCCCGTGCTCCAGGGCGCTCAGTGCTCGCCTGCCCGCCCCCCTGTGGCAAACCTCAGCGCTGCGGGGTGGGCCGACCAGGGTGGGGGGGCAGCTGGAAGCTGTGCTCCGGCACTCAGCAGCGGCCCCACAAGCGAACGTCCGTGACCGGCTGCCGTGGGGAGTCCTGAGGTGCACCCTCAGATGCATGCTGAAGGAGTGGGGTCACAGGTGTTCCCCCAGCCCACACAGTGGGACCCCACCCTCTGGCCACCCTGACCTGGTGCCGCCACCCATACTCACTGTCAGGGGACATGAGGGTCTGTCTCAGGTGGCCCTGAACCCCTAGGGCTACCCAGCCCTCCAGAGTGGGGTGCGGTCAGGCTTCGAGGGGTGAGTGCGGGGCTGAGCTCTGCTGCAGCTGTGCGGTGTGGGTGGCCCAGACTGGCCTCCGCGCCCCGTCCTGCCAGCTTCCCCCAGGTCTGTGACCCCTGGCCCCAGGGTGCCCACATTCGCCTGATGCAGAGGGGGAAGGAGAGACCTCCGGCCTTTGGCTGGTGGACAACCCTCCCACGTTCCTGGACATGACCCACTTGGCTCTTTCGAGCAGAGCCGGCAGCTGACCATGACGCGGCTCTGCTGGTCCCAGCCAGCGCAGGGCGGGCAGGCCTCAGCCAAGGGCCGGCACGACAGGCCACGGCCCCATGCGGCCCAGACTCAGGCTGGCCAGGTGGCGGCCCTGAGCGCCCACGGGGCAGGTCCCACAGACGCGCTTGGGTGGCCCCAAGCTCTGTTCTCAGCCCCCCAGACCTCGGCCCGGGACAGCACCCTGGTCCTGGACGGAGAGGGCACGCCGGGGCCTCTGCGGCACGGTAACCCGACAGAGGCGGGGTTCTACATGGCAGCCCCTGCCCTCCTCCCGCCAAGCTGCGCCTCCCCAGCCTCCCCCACCAGGCCCAGGCTGCTCGGCCCAGGCCCTCCTGCCCCCCAACACCCGGGGCCGGGTGCCCTGCCCAGGAGGTCTCACCAGCCGCTGCACAGAGCTCCCCGCGCTGCCCCACCGGCGCAGGCTGCGAATCCCTCCGGGAGCGCGGGCCTGGGCTTGGCTCGCTGGACACCCCCCACGCGCCCCTGAGGGGCGTCCTCGGGCCCAGCCCCACCCCCGCCCCCAGGCCCCGCACCACAGGTGGGGGTGCCGGCGCCCGCCCGGACACGGCTGGCGTCACAGGACCTGCCGCCGCTTCCTCTCTGGGGAAGTTCCAGTCCTTTGGGGAGACTGGGGCCTCCCACCCCCAGAGGCGCCCCCTGCGCGCCGGCCCGGGTGCCAGCCCGAGGGAGGC